CATTTATTGCTATATGAACAATTTGGTGTGGGCACTCATGGTATATTTGTTGTAATCATCATTTGACCATGGTGCTTCTAATTTGTACCATTATTATCATAAATTAAAGAGATTTTGATGAATCAAACACTGTTGGCAAGTAGATGCTTCAAATAAACTTATCAATAAATTGTCATACATTCATCCATCATTCATTCATTTAATCTACTCATTCATTCAATTAATCAGTTCATCAATCTCATTCATTCATTCATTCATTCATTCATTCACTCATTCATTCACTCATTCATTCATGTGTTTTGTAATACCGTTTTACGATAATGTCATTGCAGGTCAGTGTCCAGCAGTATCATTTGGTTACATTGTTCCCATGTAATTGTTTCAAGGAACTCTGGATACAAATTATTCATTTATTAGATCACAGAAATCAAAATATGAACACAGAGGTGAGAAATGTTATGTTTTCACAAATAAACGGTGGTCGTCGTGCCACGCATGCACAAGATATGGAACTCTTATAAACAAAGATGACAACTTTGACTTGCGCAGATCAACAAGAACAAACAGAGACATTACCAAGCTTTAATTAGATATTTTTTTAGTTGATTGGAATATCCAGAGAGTCACCAGTGGTAATTAGTGCACAATGAGCCAGGTCAAAACTCATACTTGTAATTTTCATTAGAAGAGCACATTGAATTATGGGAAATTCAATGTTTATCAACACAAATATCGCACATGCGTGACACGACGACCACTGCGTAATTTACAAGCATGCATGCTAGATAGAACGCTTTGGTCGAGAGGCCACCAGGCCAGCGGCATCAGTTGCGGAATCTAGAACGTGCATACTAGATAGAACGCTTTGGTCGAGCGCCCTTTAGCGACAGAGCAGATGGCGATGTCCTCACCCATCATCAGGGAGATTGTGTGTTTGACTCCTATGGTTGGCTGTAAACTCAACAGTTCAAAATAAGTACATTCTGTCCTCCTGCCAGACTCACATCATTTGTATTTGGTTTCAAGATTCCGCGGGACAACTGACGTATTTCTCTCAATACATGTGTTTGCTGAGTTGTGCTGTCCTCATTTCCTTAAATGAGCCCTGAGGCATTGACATAACATGGTAGTATTAGTGCGTAATATGCATTTTTAAGGTAGCAAGACTATTATTTCTGTTGAAAATTACGATTTTCACATTTATTTATTAATTGATGAAATGCACTATAAACTTTCATATGATGAAGTCAACATAACATAGAATGTCATGTAAGTTACTGTAAAGGGGGTAATTATTCACTGGGTTTTAATTTAGCTTATTTCGCTGACTGGAAAAATGCGCTAAATTAAAACACAGTGAATATGTAATATTTAGCATAGAACACATTATCCAAATAACGAAACCGTGAATTTAAAACCCACTGAATATGCCTGAAATGGTAAATCAGTGAAATTTAAACCCAGTGAAAATTAGTCATTTTACAGTAGTTAAAATGTAGATTTTCTGAAGGGAAGCAAGGCAGCCTCAGTAGTGTTTTCCAAAATCAGCAACACAGGTTTAATCTGTGTGCCTATAAGTTTCAAAGATAAACCCAAGACAAAGCAATGTTAGGATGTGTTATCAGTAGCTTTCTGACACACAATGAGTGTTTCCAAACACTTGAGTGGTTTGTCTCCGCCCCTGTTTGTTTCAAAGATTAGTCATTTGCATATGAATGTGTCAGACACTTGTTCACACAGCCACTGAAAAAAATCATTGATTTTGGTTTTCTCATCTGCCGATTTTATCGAA